TTGTCATTCTGAGTTTTTTTTTATAAATACCATAAGCAAAAAAATGTAATCAAGCAGACGAAATGAAGGAAAGAGCTAAAAACTTCTTAATAGTTAAACGTTCAGATCGAAAACAATGATGTTTTAGTTTACTAATGGTAGCTTTATAAAAAATGTATGCATTCTCAATCAGATATCAGAATGTTATTATTTTAGACAGCGGTTTTTACAAGTAACATTTATCGGTCAATATATTATTATACCTAGTAATTTCAGTAGTTACTTTTATTATGAGTTTTCAATACTAATATCATATACTTGAAATTTTCCATACCTAATGATAATAATGATTCGTTCTTCGACGACCTACTTGTATTTCTCCGTTATTATTTTTTCAGCTTCAAAATAATACACTTATTTTACCTTATTCTATTCTAATCACGTTTTTTTTTTTCATTTTTGCCTATATGATTTCACTGTAATTTCTACACGTGCTGTACGGTACGCATTTGTTTATCAGAACTCAAAATAAAAATATTATTATTATTACTAAACAATTTATAGTCGTAACTAAAAATAAAATAGATTATTTCACGTTTTATGACGAGCATATGCTTCCAACTTTTTTCTAGGCACATAATATGCATTTTATTTTTCCTATAAAAGAAACGTACGTTTTTCTTTAATCCGTAATATACTGTATGCCCGCCAAATCTCCCATAAATCTCATAAGATCAGTGATATTTAAAGACTTAATTTGTTTTAAAAATAATTTTAGTATGTTGGCCAAATTTCTAGCTGAAGTTCTAAAATTCAAATTTTAATTATTTCTAATGTCATACTGTCCACTAGTTATATCCTAATATTTCCAATATGTCACATAACTGAACCTACGTATTTTTACTCTGGTTTACTACTAAAACCAGCATAGTTTAAAACGGGTCAAATGGCAATTGGTACTACAAAAATGTATTTACGGGTATGCGCTCAAACAAAGAAGAAGACATGAACAGTTATCCGCCGCCGCGTGTACGACATATCAAACGCTACATTTTTTTTTCTTCTTCAATTGCACAGTACATTCAAGTTTTTAAGAACTCATAATGGGTGAAAAAACGCCAGACAAAATCGTCCCGTCACATAATGTGTGTACGTAAGGTAATTATTGGGTAAACGAAAAATGTTTGGCTAACAGAGATTTTTCGAAATTCCATCGACCGTCGGCAACGTGGCCACCGGACAGACTGTGACCATCGATTAAATTCCAAAAATGCGGCACAACGGTATGACATAGAGGAGGGGAATCACATGCTATATAGTCTTTTGTAATGCGGCATAACTGACATTGCGAGACTTAACAAAACACTCACAGTCATAATACACATGATGATAATAATAATACAAATCGACAACTTCTTAGCGCGTTACACATAGACTTGTGTTCCGCGTTGACATAAAACGAATTTGAAACATAATAACCAAAGTAATAAACCGTTTAATACGTTGTAAAGCGTGCTGTAGACACGGCACACCGCACCGGTTCGGCGTACACACATAAGTAACACAATATTGTGCACCGTACACACACTAGCATTCCTGTGTTATACTTTGTTTATCGTCGTGGAGGAGTACACGCAAAAAAAAAAATGTAGGCACTTAGTTTTGGTGGTTTAGTGATGCAAATAATAATAGGCGGAATTAGTGCGCGCGTTCAGGTTGAAAACCGTTTAGGGTTTTTATTAGTCAAGGTCAGGATAGTGCCGATAGTGTACACTAATCTGGAAACCGAAGGTCGAAAACTAAAACAATAATAATATATTAGGAGGTATAAAACAGATACTGTTATGCCTGTATAGGATTCGCAGAAGTTGCAAAATGGCATTGTTCTACAGCCGAAAAATATATAATATCAACAATCCAGTTGTATCCTATTACCACCACGTTCGGCCATATTATTCAACGTTCACGGTGCGGTGCAAGAATTAACAATGTTTTTCTCTTTTATTTTCCCATTCCCGATTCGAGGATATTGTTATGGGCCGTAATGTGATTTGGCATAGTTACACTTTCACTAGTAAATTACAGTAATTACCCGATCGCGCCAATTGCGTCATGTCTATACCCGAATGTTTCGGCCGATAGGTTTTGTTGTTGTTGTTGTTCCCTAGAAAAACGTCAGGGCGATAATCGTAAAATTTTTTAAATAAGCAATAAAGTAATACAAAAAAAAAAAAATATGTAAAATTAAGTTCCGGTCTACCCGACGAGTGGGTTTTACTTCTATAGCGTTTTGTAATTTGTTTTATATATTTTTATGACTTACAATACTTGACAATAAAAAAAAAAAACCAATCCGTCTGGAAAACGTACCCAGACTTACGATTTCACTAAAGGAAAGTCACCGTGCCCTAAACGTTGCGAACGGATACCCACCTATTTACCTGACAATAAAATAAAAGTATCAATAGGTGGCAAAACTCGGGGAATTGTTAACACCACGTGTATTAAAAATTGCAACGCGTAATCTTACACAATAGAACCGTCAAATGTGTACTGAACAAACCGTTTTATTGTCTACCAACTACTACACGGTTGCGCGACTGTTGCAGTTCAAAGGGGCACATACATACAAGGAAACAATACATTTTTAAGATTTTACGATTTGTGCTTTTTAGACGGTAAACTCAAAAAGACGTTCAGAGATATTTCCGCATCCTGCCACATACGAATGGAAAATGATTTACAAAAACAAAATAACAAAACGGCATAATAATAATTATATGTGTAAGATTGGTTTTATGCTTTAATCGTAGAATACACGTTTCACGACCGAGTAAAAACTATCCGCTGTTGTTTCATTATATTTGTGTTGGGTTTGCTATTCCTACACGAGTTAGTAAATGTTTCACAAAAATAATTACCTAGTGAATAACGTGAATACAATTAAACGAGATTTTTAGATAATAACATTTGTGGTTGTTACTGGTTTGAATTGACATCATTGTGACGCGTGCCGTGTGCCGTGTACCTATAACTGGTAAACCGCGGTTTAAAGTTTTCGAGTTAATTAGAACATTCTTAAAGGACTATAGAAAGAGGTTTATTGCACGATACGGCCTAAATAACAACAATAGATGTACGTGTCAATTCCGGAATGAAAATAATATAAAATCATGGTTAACGCTTTTTATGCGTCGGTTATTATAATAATGGAAAACGTACACTGTTCACTGTCCAGTGCTATGAAAAAAAAAACTGTCTGTCTACGAAACAAAAAACAAAATTATATACAACTATAGTGTTCACGAAACCGTGTCTGACACGTAAGACCCAAGTTGCCAATAACGATAGATTCATCGAATCTACGCTTGCTTCGTTTATATTTTATCTGTCCATAAAATAATAACAAGTAAAAAAACTGTTTAGAAAAAAATATACCATGTACCTAATATCCAAGTCAAAGAGTAAATAGAATACAGGTAACCAGTGGGTATCTAGAATTTTTTTCAATATACACAACACAATCTATTACAGAATATTATATAAATTCGTTCATCGTCAAAATTATGTTTTTAAAATAAATTTTTCATGAAAACAGTGTATTCAGTAGACTGTTTGACTAAGGGTACCCCTACTCTTTTTTAAGCCTTCATAATTAATAGTGACACAATGTAGGTAGGTACTTCACAGAAAAAATGCTGTTTGACTAAGCTGTTACAACTTGACTAGAATAATTATTTGAAATCTTTTTAGAGTAATTTTATATACTTATAAAATTACTTTAATTGATCAAAACATAAAAACTAAAATCAATGTTGTGAATTATGATAAAATGTACTTTCATAGTGGTTATCGATGTATTTAGGATGTTAGTACTTGGTACTTGGTATACCGAGACATTTATTTGGGCAATAGCTGTTAATTTATGTTTTACAAAATATAATAAAGTAAATTTATGCGAGAAGTTGAGATTCATTAACCAGATGTTTGAACACCGTTGGAACCCGCTAACACCAGAGATAAAATGTATATTCATAAATGCTGCTCAAAATTACTTAGGAAATTTGTGAACAATTTGTTAAGAATGTAATTATTTCTCTAAAAGGCTTTTGTACGACTGAGTAACTTAAATAATGACATTTAATGAAAAAAAAAATGCGTTTATACTTCTCTGACATTCAGATAGGTGAACGGTTATACCCCGAAAACTAATTATCCAAATGGTTTTAACCCGGCTAATGTAAAAGGGTGTGGCAAAAACATCTATAAACACTTGCAGACGTACGTAACGCTAAACACAATATGTTTAAAAAAATATTTACGTTCTTTTTCAACTTTGACTTACACTGTAGCATTAAAAAAACTCCTCGAAGAAATTCGAGTATTCAATAAGATAATAATATCAACTGATAACAGAGCGCGATTGATATTGTTAAATGTTATACAGCAAATCGTATGGTACAAAATGGGTCAATTGTAGCTTATTGGTTTTAAAAAACCCGAACGTTGATTTAACGGTTGTAAACGTGATGCCAATAATCGCATCAAGCGATTGTTTGCTTTGTCACTGATGAACTACTTTTTGGATGCGCGTTAAATTACAAATTAGTATTGCCGCCGTCGGTGTTATCAGACTTGCGGGTTTTAATACAACGTCGTAATTAACCCTTTTATTTTTTTTTTAGAAAATGTCTTTATTATATTATATTTAAATCTATACAAAATAATATATACACAACAGTCAATGGGTAAACGGTAAAAAAGAAAATTAATAATATAGCTTGAATAACATGCAGTAGGGGGGCACCTAACGTAGCTGCCTACTTTGAATTTTGAGTTAGTTTATCTAATATTTTCATTTTATAATTTATAAGAGGTCTCTACACCATTTCCTTTTTAATCTTCTTGGCGGATTATCAGGGATATGATTAGCATAGAGGTAGCGTATATTAGGGTTAGGGTGAGATATGAATGCCATTATTAACTCTACACGGTAAATAACACTATTTTGGGTTTCTTACATATCCAAATGTTTCCCTGGGGTCCGAGATCCGCTTGCAAGCATTGCCTGCGAAACGCGAACCTCAATCCGTCCAAATCGTCCCGTAAGTGATTGCCGTCCATGGCCAACACACTTTCGGGCACTAATAGCAAATTATCGATTCCTTCTTCGGGACCGGACAGCCTGTCCTCGCCGCTAGTGTGCTGGTAACGCGTCGGTGCCCTCAAAAGACCCGCCATGACGATACTCTCCGACGGTCATAACATCATAATAATATTACCATCATCATCATCATCACTATGCGCCGCCGCATCACGCCATTCCACACATACCGAACACCGCGTACCGATTAACTGTAAACACACACATACGCGGCGCAAGTATCGAGGCCGATGCACGTGCAAATCGAATAAAACGAGAACACTATGGAATGCCCGCACAGGTAGACCACGAGACGCGAATGGACGATGATACACAGCCCTGTATCACATGCATCATATCATACGCATGGTCTAGGTACCGGCGGAACGAGTGTCTGCGGGCAAACCACACGGCGGACGACACTTACTAACCTACTGAAGCCTGAAACCAGTGCAGAACAACCCAACCACCGGCTACAACAACACACCGGCAGCGGCGGCGGCGGCGGTGGAGGACTCGTGGAGGGGAGGGAGGACGCTAACCGAGCCGGCCGAGAATTACTTTCAAATCGCAAATAAATTAGCAAACGATCGGTCAATAATATCATTTTGATGGCTCGAGCAAGTCCGTCGGGAACACGGCATAATAATATAATCGATTGGCCACGCCGGACGATTGTATTTAAAACATGTTTTGTTTAGGCTTAATCGAACCCGTTAACGCGTGAACCCTTCAAGTTCCTGACTGCAAATCGAACCAATCAAGCTACGACCAACCACAACTGTTGCACGGCCGTACACCGTCGTGTATTATAACACAACTCGAATTTCACAAGATATTATAATGTTGTTTTACCTACGAGGTGTGTTCTCTATTAGCTCAATGGAAAAGAACGCATACTCTACGTATACGAAGTAATGAGACGTTCAGTGGTCGCGTGTCACGTGATTTCAACGGTATATTATTAGCCTATCCATTACTGGCGGTGTCTATTACAATTTGCACTACAATACGCTAATAAGATGGCAAAGAAAACCTAACTCACGGATTTCGTTTCACCGTCTACATGGTTTATTGTTTTTTTTTTTTTTTTTTACATAACGTGTAGACATTTTTTATAATAATCTTTAGGTAAAACAGATAAATCATAAATGTCAACAGCAACGACTATGACAGTTATGTTTTCAAATATCAGTCGGAATTGAACAGATTTTATTGGATACTTTTTAGAGCAACGCCGTTGTTTAGTTTCGTCGGATCTCTCGAGTAAAATAAAATAAATTTAAAATATGCTTAAACACAAAGTGAGAGTATTCAATAGAGGTGGCCCGCCGTAATGCGCCTGCACGTACGTCGCATATGTATACACAGATAAGTGCTACAAGATAGGGAGCGTCTATATTACCCATCACTTCATTCGGATTCACGTGACCATGACCCTGGTCGGTCTCGTTAGGGAAGCCAACAGCGCAAACCAGTAATGCTGTGAAATTGGGGTCAGTACATACATAAATACGAACAAAGAAACGTACGGCCAAGAACTGATCAGCATGTTATGTATGTATGTATGTATGTACATAAGGGTCGTAAACAATGTTAAAATGTAGATTTTAGTGAAAACATAACGCAATTCTACATGACCTTAACTTTTATTTTATTATCACGTACCGAGGTCGGATGTACATATACTTTCTAATCTAAATACTCGAATGATAATTTGCATCCGAAACCTCTCACTAAGCATGAACGTAAGACGACGGTCTTACAAGCGAAAATAACTCGAAATCTATTTCAAAATTATCTTCACGATGTGAGCGCGAAATCGTAGATGCAGCTGTGGTAAAAGTTTGGTTTGGTAGTTTGTACGAACGTTATGTAAACAAAGTCGACGCCATGAGATAATGGCGGTTATGTTATAAAATACACGAGGAATATTTCCATTAGTTTTCCAAGTGAAAATTGTGTATGAAACTCTGCGGTACACACTTAACGACAATTGGTCACAGTTACGGTCCATCACTTCTATACACCACGGTTTTCATAGACACCTTCGATTTTCCATAATATAAATTGGGACACTTTCTAACCATTTAACCCTTCCGAATATTTCAAAACAACTGCATGAATGACGCATATTTTAAAAATCTATGTATATATACATACATATTTTTTTATACACACATATATAACGTTATCCATTGAGAACTATTTTGTACATTTTTGCAAGTAAAGCTTAACAATAAAATAAATTTAGGATAACAAGTCAGCAAAGCAAACCCGATGTTGTACAATGGAACGTATTCTATTTCTAAGAGATTGACAATCTCATAATTCATTCAACCGATTTAGCCGGCCTAGACATTTTTTTCCGAAACATGACTATATTAACACCATTACTCACTGCGTTTTTGATTGTCACTTATATCCTCTAACCAATCCATTTGTAATACAATTGTAAGTGCATGATTCATAATTAAAACGTATTTCCTTACACGCGTTATATTTAATCGTACGTTCTCAACCTTTTCTATTTTACTTTGATTTCATTACTCACCTGTAACAAAAAATAATAACAAAGGTTTAATACAACAATAATTATTACGTTTTATGTTAAAACAAAGTAATACTTATTATAATATTGATAACAAACGTAAAATTCGAAATTGAGATATATTCATTTTGACTAGGCATGTTTGGTAAATAATACATCGGACACTATCTTAAGCGGGCCTTTTGAGTACAACAAAGTATTTCAGAAAAATATGAGCGTCATTTGTCGAGGAGCCTAATTGAATGATTCCATGTAAAATACATAATTTGTTAACAATTAAAAAACTGTTGTATGGTAAGTCGTTCAGTAATTATCCAACACGCCAACTTGGATTATGAAATTCATGAACTAATTACCTAACTGCACGTATGTAGTTATTTCTTTAGTCCTGGGGATCTATAATTACCACGTTGGTACAAAAATGAGGTGTGATGGATAACTTCCAGAAATAACAAATCAACACACGGGCATAAAAAAAACTTTAGTCCAGTCGACAGGAAGTCTTAAAATAAATTTAAGAGTAAGGGTTGCGGCCAGAGATGGCCTCCGAAGACCAACGGCATAAATAGACGGTGCCACATAGGTAACGACGGTTTGTGCTGTCAAACTTTAACAGGCATTAATTTTTTAGAAATAATATTATTTTATAACACGAGTAAATCGAACTACTATTATTATTTACATTTATTTATTTTGAGCAACACTTTTAATAAAACAACAATAGTCGCCGACAAATACTAATTTGGGATACACTAAATAAATTGTACAAACTAACTCACAGAACACTACATAATTGAATTGACATTTCATAAACTTCACATAGAAACTAAGTTTTTATGAACATCACTGGATATTAAATGAATTAATACTGGCACAGGTACTGCTCCACACAAACGCATACACGTTATTCATCAGCGATACCGGAAGCACGCATATGAACACGCAGAATGGGCAACAGTTAGCCTCTGCTATTTAAACTATACTTCCTAAATAATTTTACAAAAGGTTACCTACTCGCAATAGCAGTTGGAGTAATTGTTATCAAAATAAGTATTAATATAAGTCATTTTTTTAAATAGTTGGTTAGAAGCTAGAATTACTATAAAATCTTGACACAATTGCGTATTATGTTGTATATTGTTTTGATTACACTTTTTTCAACCGAATTTAATTGTTATCATACTACTACAAAGTGAGAAACGCTTTTGTTTAGTTTACATACAGCTAATAAGTTGTTTATGATTTCCGCCATCGGAAAAAAAACACGAGTACTGTTAAATACATAGTAAGTATACTGCACCATACATAAGTACACAAAATAAAGTAATAAAGTAGACGGAGAGGAAAATTATTTATTGATATTGACAGTATAACACTGTATACTAGATAATTTTACCGATAACAATTATTATTCCAAGTTTAATTATTTTAATTTTAATGCATACAACGTCTGTCGTATATTATTTACTTATTTATTTATTCCAAATTTTAGTCATTTATACATTAATTTTACTGTAAAGTATACTATGTGATGTTTAACCGACAGATACTAAAATAAAAACTAAAATGTTTTAACTGGTGAATGTATTAGGAATATTTAATCAAAAAAATACTGGTTGTACACATATTTTATGTTAAAAACTTTGAAACAGAAGACATTTTAAACTAAACATTACTATTCGAATTCAACTAATACAGTAATGTATTCATCTTACTTTTTTAAATTATTATTATTATTAAATCTAACCTGGTGAAGCTAGCGGTGGAACCCCGTAAGGATTTTCGATATCGAAAAACAATCCGGAATTAAACGAATAAATTAAACGTTTGAGTTTCATATTTTCTAAATGGTAATGAGCATATTATTTCAATTATTAACTAAAACACAGACTAGAGAGCAACTTCGAAACTTTCAATCGCACGGCAGAATGGTCGACGCGCTACTGAGAGGGCTGTCAGCAGTTTGTCAATATGTCGGCAAACGTTTATCTTTAGGACCTTATAGGTGCCTAATAACATATAACTATCATTTTGATTACATAAACTAAGAGCGGTTTAATAACATTACTAATCATTATTAATAAGTCATAGTCATAACAAAGATTAATTGAGCACATATTGATTTATCTATTTTCACATCGTTATGATTTGTTGCATTACTTCTGTCGACATTAAATATAAATAAATACTTCGCCGTTTACTTATTGTTCAACAAACAAATATAAATATGTACAAATAAGACAATAGAGTTAAATGTAAAAATGTTGGAATTGGAACTTACATTCATCTAGATAAGTTTCTATTTTATTTGGGTTACCCAACAATTATACGATTGTGTATAACATTTACAATGGGATTATTTAACCCTCTAAAGCCGTAGACAAAGATGGGGTAAGTATGGTCAATAAATATACAATTTATACATATTATGTTTTGATGCTTGTTTAAGTATAAAATTGGTAAATACATTTTTTTACACATGTATTGACGTCCAGTCTTAAACAATTTGATTTTTAAAGGTGTAAAATTCAAATTAATAGTTCCGAGATAATGAAGTACCTGACGAATCTTTTACCAAAACTTTAAAATAAACTTTAACATTCTAAAGTTTGTTTTATCTAATAATTTACTTGTATTTTTCATAGCATTACATTTACCACGAATGCAGTACAATCAATACAATTATATTAAGTAATTATAGTTATAATAGTATAATATAACTTTCGTCAATTGAAAAAACGGAAATAAAATTAAATACATCTTTTATTTTCACGTTAAACAGGTTCCATTTTAATTAGGTCGAGTTCTATTTAAAAATGTATTGTCTGGCGAGACCGATATTTTTTAAGAAAGACCGGTTTTCGTTTAATTGCAGGTTCACC